TTTTCACTAATGAGGCCTTAATCTTAGATTCTCAAATCTCAATCACCTCACTAGGCTCTTGCTCTCCTTGGCACTCTCAAGGGTGTTTCTCAGCTATTGAAATGGGCAAGAGTACTTCCTTGAATGAATAGAGGAAGTATTTATACCCCCTCATTCAAAATGAACCGTTATGTGCCAGAGTCAGCATTCTGTGGGGTGACCGGACGCTTCGGTCAAGGTGACCGGACGCTCCGGTCAGTTCTCCCCGCCACTGAGCCATTAAGTTGTGACCGGACTCTGACCTACGTCCGGTCAGCATTGATCGGACGCATCTAGTCACGAAAACTGCTCTCTGGAACCTTACTGATGTTGACCGGATGCTGGAGCCCAGAGTCCGGTCACTTCGCTGTTCAACGTTCGGTCAGTAACTGGAACTTGACCAGCGTCCGGTCAAGATCGACGGATACGTCCGATCAGATTCTCCTCTCTCGATCCTTATGGAGTTGACGGGACTCGCACCAGTGATATCCGGTCACATTTCACTCAACGTCTGGTCGCATCAGACGACTTCACTTGATCAAATGAATGGCCGGGATTTCTCTCGCCGGCGGTCGGTCACACTGGGACCAGGCGTCCGATCAACATTTGACCCTCCATTCACCTCCAACCCGAAATCATATGTGAATAAAGTTTTCTCCAATTGATCTAAGGGCTACCTGAGCTACCTAGTGCTAGATTTGACAAGTGTGCACCACACCTAACCCACTAGACTCACCTAGGTCAAGCTACTAGTCCATACCCCTTAATAGTATGGCCAAAGGAAAAATAAAGTCCTAAACTACTCTAAGTGTCTCTTCAACACCAAATGACACTTAGAACTAGTCCATCCTTAACCTTGTCGTCCATCCTTTGAAAAAACCGAAATGATTTTCATCGTGAGGGGCATGACAACCATGATTGCCCAATTAATTGCCATTACCATGACCTAACTTAATTGCATCTACAAAACACACATTAGTCATAGTAATCTCGTATTATCATTAATCACCGAAACCCAACTAGGGGCCTAGATGCTTTCAAGTGCCACCCCTTGTTGGATCACGGAGAGGTGGTACAGGCATGTACTCTGGCCGCCTTTCACGCCGGAGGTGGAAGCCCGCGATCCCATTGGCATCGGGATCTCCGGCCTCTCTCCTTCTTTTTTGATGAAGGAGATAGAGAAGAAATATCTCCATAGCTTAAAAGTAGGGCTCGATCCCTAGGTACCCCTCCTACATCATGATGAAAGGCTGCGATGTGCTAGATCCCGCTGGGGTTCAAGTCTGCTGCAACTCAATCTGATAGTGGTGTAGCACCACCGGAAGAACAGGTAGGAGAATGAGTGAGTCCGCACGTGGAAGAGCGCGAAGGAGATGATGTAGCCATCGGGTGGCTTCGGTGCATCCTCACGACTGGGCACAAGCTACTCCGCCACATCGGTCCTCCCATGGAGAAGACTATGCTTGACGAGGCCCTCCATGCGCACATGGGTAACATCAGAGCGGTACCATGAATCCATAGAGGATGGAGGCGGTTGCGGAGAAGCAAAGGCGGTGGCGGAGAAGCGGAAGCTACAGATCTAGGGCTCTGACGGCGGATTAGCAGGCACGACAGATCCGAACGGTGGTGGTAGAGAAATGGAGAAGGTAAGGATGTGGTTTTGGTGTGCAGAAACGTGAAAGAGGGAGGTCGCTATTTATAGGACAGAGTGGGGCAAGAAGGTGAACCATCTACCTAGGTTCACGTGCATTGCCGCGCCGTGTCACGCCACCTCCCTCCAAGATCGTTACACGCTATCTCCGGCCGCACCCTTGAAGGACACGGATGATGGTTACCGCCTGATCGATGGGCCAAGAACCATCGTAGGTAAGGAGGAGGATCTGGTGAAAACGCCTTGCCCACGGCCCATTGAGGACTAAGAGTTCAAAGGTGTGCCCACTGGGTTCACAATACTCCGGCACACCTTAGAGCGAGGGTGGAAAGGATGGGCCCACTAGTGGCCTTGATGCCGGCGCGAAAGCGCCATGAGCATCCCGGCCTATGTTCAAGTCTTGGTCGGTTCCAGTCCCTGGTTTTTCCTCTAAGAAAGGCAACGAGCCCTTGGGACCGGCTTAACGGATCCAAGAACTATATGGATTGATCGCCAAGAGTGCAGAGTCGGTCACCAAATTTGACCCATGTTAGACCCCCATGAGCGGAAGCCAGGCCCCACTCGGACTAGCACATTATCGACTCACGAACACTATGTTTCATCCATCGAGGAAAAGCGTTGGTTCCGTCTCGTCCGACGGGGACCCATACCACCGCCAACCACTCTAGGTCTAAGCGCATGGTGCTGGGTCAAAACTCTAACGCTTAGAGAAGAGGTCGCACGCTTCAATGTAACCTGCGTGGCCATGACGGGACATACCGGGATTCACATCAAGAATAGTGTCAGGCGTGTCGGTCTTTATTTTCGCTTAATCCTCGACGGACGCTAATAGACGATCGCTTCACCACGACGTCTGCGGCGAGGATGGAGTGGAACGCCATGACGGCAAATGACGTCTGCGCGATGGCGCCAGTGTGTGGAGCAGGGTATGCGACATGGAGCCGCCATCTTTGTTGACATCTACAGAGATTGGCGGGACGCATGAAGGAGAAGAAGGACCGGAACAACCTTGGAAGCCTTTTTTCTCTCTCGTTCTTCTCATATTTTCCTCCTCAGAAACCGTGGTTTTCCTTCGCCTATAAAAGGAAAAGCATGGTGCTCCATGAAAAGGAAGATCGAGACATAAAGAGCACGACACAAGCACACATTCATGGCGGCAAGTTTAGCTCAAGATCCGCTCTCCTTACACTAGAGACACAGGATCCTCTCCTCTCTCGTCTGCATTTGTAACCCCCTCGCAAAACCAAGTGTCGGTAATACTGCAAGTAGCCGAACTAGAGCGTAGGGATGTTCCGTCTCCAACACAAGATAAACCCCCTCGTGTCCTCCCGAGCACACCATCCGAAGTCCAGACGACGCTTAGAATACAAATTTACTGCTTGCTTGGTCCTAAAAACACCTTTACAAAATGTCTATGATAACACTAAGTACAAATTATCACCTCTTAAATGGATGCACTGAAATTCACATAAATTAGAAGGTATACTTAGAAGTGTTTTTTTAAATAAATAGTGGACATACTTCGTCATAAAAAAATATAAACTTATTTTATTAAAATTTATATAAAAAAAATCAGCTGCATGTGCACTACATAGAAAAAAAATTGCATATGAAAATTTCTTATTTTTGTATGTTTTTAGCATAATGAGTTTTCATCTATACTTTTGGGGCAAGACATATCCACAGACACACAATACCATTGTGCACCATTTTTAGTTTATATTCGTTAAAAAACTTTTTAGTATGTTTTAAGAGTTTTATATTACCACCGTAGAGAGGGTTAGCACTGAATATTTTCTCTCTATTATCACCCAATGACACTTATATATATATATATATATATATATATATATATATATATATATATATATATATATATATATATATATATATATATATTATATGACAAATCTAATTACATCTCCTTAGTATGATTTGATATCTTCTTATATAAATCAAATTAAACTTTATGCTTTGAATTAATACTATATTAGAATTGTATTATTTTCAAAATAAAGGTGGTAACAATATTGTGCGTGCTTGTAAGAGGTCCTTTCTATATACGTGCTTGTAAGAGGTTCTTTCTATATAACACACACACATATATGTGTGTGTGTTATATAGAAAGAACCTCTTACAAGCACACACAATATTGTTACTACCTCTATTTTGAAAATAATACAATTCTAATATAGTATTAATTCAAAGCATAAAGTTTAATTTGATTTATATAAGAAGATATCAAATCATAAGAGAGATGTAATTAGATTTATTATAATATATTTGATAGCATATATCGACTTGAATCCATAATTATTAATATTAATTTCGATAAATTTTGTTAAAGCTAAGCTAGTTGATTCAGACCAAACTTATAGTACTACGTCAAGCTGGATCATTGCTCTCCTGAATCCTGATCTCGAATAATTCTTTTTTAATAAGATTCTATATATAAACACCATCCTAGCAGTGGATTAGGCGACAGAGACTACAGAATTTAACCCCGCCACGTTTCTGCTGCTGACGTGGATGGACGGCACTTGAGCCGTTACTTAACGGCGTCATCACCTCAAAGGCGCCTCTGTGTGAGACCCAGTATTAAAGCCGCGTCCGACGGGGTGGGAGAGAGAAGGAAAAGCATTCCAACACTTCCTCTGCATCTCTCCTCTCTCTCTCTCTCTGTCTAAAAGAATTGAAAAAGAGAGGAAATCCTCGACTGCTCGTTCCATAAACCCTAACCTCGTTGGATTCGCAGCAAAAGCCTCCCAATTCGAAGCCCTCCGGTGTTCCAGCTGCCTGCGGGAGCTGAGCTGTGCCCGGTTTGGCGAAATTTTGCAGCCCTTTTGTGCTAGGACCACCCGGTTCAGGCTGTTTCTCGCTCGATCGGAGGGGGCGTGCCAGCGGTTTCGCGGCTCAGGGTCATCACCGGTGTGCTCTCCGGCGCCGGATCCGGGTGTGTTCCGGCGAGAGGTCGGGCTTTTGGTTGGGGGTCTGTCGAGCTTCGGGCTCAATTTGCCGACCTGAGTTGAATCGCGACTGGTACACCATTCATTCTTGGATTTGCTTGGTGGAGTTCCCGATTTGAGGTCCTTGTTGATATATTGTGGCACTTCTGATGCATGTGAGTTTAATTAACCGCTTGCCATAACTGCCATTTTTCTTTACTCGCTCACCTGTTTTCTTACCGCCGATGTTCGTCCTCTGTTCTTCAGGTAATCGCGTCGATTGGACCCGCGGTTCCTGCCATTTGGGTGAGCCAGCCTTACCTGGCAATCTTGGGGGCGTTTCGTCTTGCTGCGTGGCAGAAAGGTGTGACCTTGTGTGCCGTGCGATGCATCCCAAGGCTCGAATCCACGCCGACCCGGTGCGCGAGGTCGACCACTTCGACTGCCTGCCGGATTCGCTCGTCCTGCTGATCCTGAACAAGGTCGAGGACGTGCGATCGCTCGGCCGGTGCTACGCCGTGTCCAAGCGCCTCTGTGGGCTTGTTCCCCTTGTCCATGATGTGTATGTCAAGATTGACCGCGTCGTGGCGGTCGACGGCGACGCCGAGGACACGCTCAACCTGTCCTCGCCAAAGCCTCGGAACATCTTCTCGCACTTCCTGAAGCTGATGCTCCTCACAATCATCAAGCCGTTCCACAACATGCGCAACCCTAATGGTACTGGAAGGCCATTGTTCCCGCAGCTCTCGCAGCACTCGCCAGCACAGGTGCTCAGGAACTTCACGCACGTCAGGAATCTTCGGATTGAGCTCCCCTCTGGGGATGTGAGTACTGAGGAGGGAGTTCTCCTGAAATGGCGGGCAGAGTATGGGAGCACACTTCAGAATTGTGTGATCCTGGGGGGTACCCGGGTTGACCGCAAGCCTGTTGGAGAGCATGAGCCATCTTTGGAGGATAATGGAAGCATGCCAGAGTCTTTCTATACCAATGGCGGGCTGAAACTTCGTCGTCTGGACAATCAGCTCTCTAATTGCGGCATCAACGAGGCACTATCTTCTCCGCTCAATCATCAATGACCATCCCACACTTCGGAGCTTGGTACTAACAGATGCCGATGGCCAAGGCACATTGTCCATGGGGGGGCAGAGCAGCTGAAGGAGTTCAGAGAGAACCAGTTGTCGGCCCTCGGCATGTTCCAACAGGACTCAGGTCCCAGCCTGCAACATGAAGCTCAGGCGTACGCCCATATCTTGAGCTGCCTGGTGGCATGAAGCGTTGCAAGGCGCTACTTTGGTGGCTATCAAACCCTCACCTGAGGGAAGCAATGGAAGCCACCCTAACCGTGAAGGAGGCTGGCGGATTTGTCTTTGGAGCATTTGATGGGCCATTTAAGGCTGCTGTGAAGGCGCTGATGAAGAGACGCACTTACCTTCTGGAGATGAATGGCTTCCTAGGAATCTTAAGTTCGCGTGGTATCGAGCTTGTTGGTGCTATGCATGGCACATTTAGCTGAGCTTTTCATCTGTGTAATATCCAAGAAGGCGCCATCTCTAGTTGGTGCTTGCTGTCTGCTGTTTTAGTTCTTTGTACAGTGTTGACATTTGATTATATAAAAATCATATCAAGTTCTCTAGTGTAATAGTGAATCTCTCTATAGCTCACCATTCTGGTCCCTTGTGCCCTGTGTCATACCGAAAACTGTGAAGCATCCTACCGCTAACTCTTTTCAAGTGAAACAGCCTTGTGATCATTTAATGTCTCAGCACAGGGAGTTGAGATATTCAGATGGTCGCACCATTGGACACAAATTATTATATTTGCCATGTGTACATTTTTCTCCTCTTTCAGTTTCATAGGTGGAAGTTGAAAGTAGCCTTGGAAAAGAAGAGCCAGATTATGCCTTCAGTACATCACATTCATTTTGGGATTGTGAAATGAAAATGACTGATCTTTGCTGACAATTCCTGGAGAACAGTTTCTACTTGGTTTTGATTCCTGCGTTTCTTAGAATGTTTCTAATAATTAAGGATTGCAGGTTACAGTTATGACTTTGTGGGACTGCTTTCCTGTAGTTGACCTAGCATATGGGTTATCTCATCTATCCTACTGCTAGTAAAACAGCCTGAGATTCCAAATGTAGTTATCATCGATTCATCGGTCAATGATCTCTATCCTCGATGTTAATGACATGTTAAAGACTTCATTCCAATAAATTAGTTTTTTTAATTGTGAGGATCCAATAAATTAGTTCATTAATACCATTGGCAAGTGATTTGGATCACGATCTAGTTCATTAAGACACATTGACAATTTCTCGATTGGGATTTCTTACTGAAGTGCTTTTAGAGGGTGTCCACGTCTCTTATGTCTCATCCATTCTTATAAGATTACACAAATATCTTTTCATGAATAATTGCCTTTCAGATCTTTGGAGGGGTCACTCATAAAACTGGCCACTAAAGAATTATATTAGTCTGCATTACTAGTATCAGAATTTAGCTGGCATGAGTACTTTCTTGAGGTAAACTAGTCAAGAGTTTTGAAAATATTTGAATAGAGCATGTCTGGAGTGCAGATTCCTTGAAAGAAAATGAATCATTACATTCACGCGTCAACTTATCAAGTTGCAAATATTTTGCTTGATGGGAATACTCTGTTGCTAATACTGGTCGACATGTATGGATTAAGGGAGATTTTATTTTAAATATAAAATGGACAACTAATGCATGATCTTATATGGCTAAAAAGGCTTAGTTTCTTTTCAAAGACGAAGTTACCTTTTGCATAAGTATCTGAAAGGGAGTTGTGTTGTTAGTTTGCTACTATCTTCTCTTCTTTAGAATGTTCTTCCTGCAAATCTGTGAGCTTCCAGAAAAACTGCTCACCAGGTGGAACTGGTTTGGGTTAGCCTGATTGCATCACCTTGTAGAATTCATTTTGTAGGGTAACCTACCTCAAGAAAGGGCTGGAGTGGTGACTTTGAAGCCCTGACGTAAAAGACACATACACCCTTATTGTTTCTATCCTATTGCCTTGCTATCCTACAGTAGTACGGGAAATGTCACTTGGTAAGTCAGTGACGAATTTTTGCAGGCCAATTTTTGGCATATTAAGAACATTAGTCTGGGAGATGTCACTTGGTAAGACAGCGAGGAGTTTTGCAGTCCAATTTTTGGCAGATTAAAGTTGGTACTACTCTCCTGAAGAAGGAACCTTTTTTCTGGGTTGAGTATGCTGAATATATTGACGTTGAAAACGTAGCCACTTGCAGTGAAATCTGGTACGGGATGATATCGGTTGACCCGCATAAAACAAGCTCACCGCTCATGTGCAGATCAGTTAATAAAAAAAGCAGTTCTGACAAGTAAACGACACCATCGATCTAAGCTGTTTTTCTTTGTTCATATCCACTCAGCTCGATATATATGATTCCATCCGAGAGCAGCTGTACAAAAGCAAATCCGATAAAAATCAGTACTATTTTATTCATCTTATCCTGAGTTGATTCTATACTTAAACGGATGGAGCATGTACTAGGCAATCAATCCCCTTTTAATTAGGGCACGGTTGTTTACTCCTGCTTACATAATCGGGCTTATACAAGCCAGCATCGTTTACTAACATCCCAGATCTTATAAGTCAAACTATATGATCCACATCCCAGCTTGATAATCCCACAAGATGCCCAGGACCACAGCTTATTTAAGTTTATATTAAATTTTCTTTTTAACACATCCAATAATATAGGTTGCTAAACAGCTTAGCTTACATAATCCAATGAAATCAATCATAATAACCTCTCTCATATATAATATATAGTCTGGCCAAGGAACAAACATAGCCATAGTATTGCAGTTTAGACTATTTAGCTCAGTTCACCACAAAGATAAAAAAAAGGCAAACAGTAAAACCATCAATTGAGATGCCCCTAGCCCCACATGTCATCCTAACAGTACATGGTATCTTCCTATCTTCTAATATGTATACCTTTTCATCAGTCCAGCCCTAATAAATTGGAGGTAGGATTAAAAATCACTATTAAAATTAATATATATTTACTGAATAACTCAGCTGGAAATAAAACGAGAAAAAGGGAATCCTCTAAGGTCATTAGGAGAAAAGCAATATAATCAATCGAATCGTTCTAGTTCTTCCTGAAGAGCAGCACTAACCAATGAACAAAGTTAGAAGAAAGATGGGTGACACCATGAGTGAAGCTGTTTCCTTGAACAAACTTTCATGAGAAACATTCTGTGATCTATAATCTATCCACCTCCAAACTCAAATTTACCCCACCGCACCGGTTCAGCCGTTCAGGCCATTCAACGACAGTCAACAATGATAGACATCAAAGCACTCCACCCAGACCAGGCTACTCCATGTCTTTTTTACAGGTTATCAGATCAGCTAACGTGCAATAACATCAGTTTGATGGCCTTGCAACCTAAGCAACGTGAGTGGCACTCGCCCATTTAGTGAGCATATACCCTCCTTATGCCACAAAATTTGGAAACGATGGGGCCAGTACAGGGGTCGAAGTTGATCATCTGTATTTGGCCTAACTCCATTTTCTTCTTGAGCGCTTTCTGTCCGTGGTATATGAATCGAGCCAATGATACCAGAGACGGTGAAAACACCTGAGGATAATGCAGATCAAATTTGTTAGTTGCACTTATGGAAATCGTAGCTGAAGCTATTTTTATTAAAAAAAATTACAGAAAATGCAACTGATTGCGGACATCTATTGCCACAAAAGCTCTGCTTTAGTATGAACACTACAGTCAAATGCACAGCTTAAACTGTTTCATCAATATTTTATACAGAACTGCAAAAGAATGTGGGGAGTCAAGTGGGAGTCAATTCCACAAGACGCTTTGCTGTTTATCAAAAGGAATGTCAAAGAATTACTGGAGCGTTCAGCAAGACATTTGAGGTTTATAAAAGGTTTCATTTACAGAAGAGTGAAGATTGTAGATGTAGCAATCTTTTGACAAATGATAACTACACCTAAACTAAACATGATGCTCATACCTCCCACTATAGCACAAAGGTTTGTCAGAAGTAGTGGAGTAGGGATCTATTTTCTTCTGTGAATATCACCTGCAAAAAAAAATAGACAGTTCAATTTTATAGGATCGCTGACCTGAAGAACTGAAATGAGTAACTTTCAATCTGAGAGGATTACAACAGTGCTAACTGCACTAATAAAAAAATAACTGGGAATTAATTAATATAATCACATATATGTGAAAATAGAAGGGCGTTACAGGCCCTGCACAAGGATGATGAGCCGCCTCACCGAGTCACCAAGTCGTGGGTTCAAACAGCCTCTCCGCGTAGATTTTTGCGGGAAAGGCTTGCCTCAGATTTTCCTTTCCCTGCACCCACTCATGGGAGCCTCCACTGGTCTGATTACGCTTTTTTTTTAATCACATATATGTGAAAATGATAAAAGGAATTCAACGATCTACAGAAAACTGTATATGCATCTTTTATTACTCCGTTATTACCTTTATAGGTGAGAAATCATAGAAGAAAATACTCCAGGTTGGGGTTTCTTGGAGTATGGACTAACATTTCCATCTCTAAAATGTTCCGCTACGTAGAACTGAAAATGAAAGTAAACAGAAAGATATTAATGTTGAGGGAATATAAAACGTTGCACATATTCACAGTTCCACAAACCTGGTCTGAAAATGAATATTGTGTCCTCTTATATCAGTGTATATTGTAGGGACAACCTGGACAGGAAACTTCGGTAAGTTCTTTATGCACCATTAAGCCATAGAACTATAACATACATGTATGAAGAAAGACTCACTTTTATGAAATACTGGTATGTCCCATCTGAAGCTTTTGGCTGTGTCCACTGAGCACTGTGTTCATAAATGGTGAAGTTTTAGAGTAAGAAAATACATATTTAGGTTAATAGAAGTGCCTAAAAAACAATTGGCACCATTTTATGCTCACTGAGCCTAAACATAGATAGATTACCCATCAAGTGGATTAATAACACTAGGGAATTCTGTCCTAAAGGACAGTTTGTTTATTTTGTGGGTAATCTGGTAAAGTTACA